CAATATGCGTTCAAGATGTCGATGTTCAAAACAGTATGCAGTCCACGTTGATTCATACTCTTCATCGGCGCAGATTTGCACTCCGATAATTCTACACACCGTTTTCCCAGATGCATAGAACTAAAGGTTCGAGGCTGCAACCCGGGTGCAAGTCTACCAGACCAGCGTACATGCAGTCCAACAGGAAGCAAGGTGCATGAGGGGAAGCAAACCCGTAAATGACAAGCCAAACTGGATCACTTAAACAATGTAAAAGGGAGTACACATTATTACGGCGAGGTACATGCACATAGCACACAGCCTTCTTCAAACTTTGAATACAACCCTTAGGTCGCGTACTATCTCCCTTGGTTGATCTGGCAACAAAAGTCACGAGAACACCATCAGAGTATAAGACAGGTTAGGTACCCCGGTCAAAGAATCAAAATTTCATCATGGTATATATGTGCATTACTCCCTTCCGTCAATTCCTTTCAGGTTTGCCGTTATCTTTACCATTTATATCAAGGTTCGATCTCTACGGTTGGCGAACTCTATCACTGGTTGACTGGATGGGTCAGCCATCATATACACTTCAATCTCTCTGAATCAAACTCTCTTGTGCTGATTTTGTGGTCAAGCCAACCAAGACTCATCACAAAGTCCCTCTGGTATATATGCTACAGTGCTGATCGATTCGGCAGGCGACTACACTCATTGATGGTGTTTTCAACCTGCTCTCTACGCCAACCAACGTCTATGGTTCAATCTTTCGGGTTTATATAGTTCTGATTGACCGGTCAGGCTAACCAACACTTGGTCGACAGCCCGATGTGACTTCTACGCCAGAGTTGGCGTAAGCTGGCCTGTACGAAATTACCCTTTAGTCAAACACTTTGTAATCTCCATTTTTCTTGATTCAAATGCCTACAGTATTGACAGTAATCACGTCAAGTACCTGGACACTTAGAGCTAATAACACAAACAGACAATACAGTATCTCAGCTTATGGGTAGTGCTGTGAGTAAAATACCTGCTGGAGGCTCGTCTCATAATTTGTCTGGAACTAACCCACATGTTGCTAGTCCGGTTGGCTGGCTGGCTATTCATCAAATATGCTAGAATAAAAGTGTGTGCTAATTCCAGTTAGTTCCCTTCTAATCGTAATCTTATGATCTGTGAATAATAACTTAGCGACATGTCGTTTGCATTCCCCCTATGATAATAATAAGTTTCTCCAGCTGTCAAAATAGAAAAATAGTTAATTGGTACAATACTGGAAGCAGAGTGGAAGTGAAACAAGTGTTCGTCAATGACACAAACATACTCAGCAGCATTACTTTCATTATTATTATTATTATTAACGTGAGAAACAGAATGTAGTCAAGTCTGAGTAATGTTTAACTTGCCTAAATTAGACGTCAAGTTAGTTGAGACGATGTAGTCACATGATAGTCATCACGTGGTGTTAGACGTGAGTCTGACAGACAGCGTGAGAGTAGAGGTGGGATGCTGGATTGTTAGCCTGTAACACTGGTAACATTAGTCGTCGTGGTGGTGGTCATCTGTCTATCTATCCATCTACGTGTCTTATTGACAATTTCTCTTTCTTTATTTCTCTCTATCTATCTATGTATAGAATAAAGCATATGTTGTAAACTACTACTTCGTGTTAATATGGTGGGTGACAAGTATCCTGCATTGTGTTCTTGTTTCTCGTATGAATGAGGAGATCGCAGTGTGACTAAGAGACTAATAACAGGTGGTAGTGCGTGAAGACGATCTAGTCTAGTCTAGTCATCATCACCCTGTGAGAGTGCTGTTAAGTGCTGTCATATTGATTTCCAAATTCTCATCAATCAGACAACCAATCACATGATCTGGATAAAAATGCCTTCTAAACTAAGTGTATTCAAAATAAATAAATAAATAAATGTGAGTAGATGGATATGTATCAGACGAACAACTGATTGTATTGTTCATGCAAACTATCTTAAACACTTAGCGTGGTGGCTGTGCTCCTTTCAAAGTTAGTTGATTCTCGTTTCACGATTTATTTCATGAATGCCAACAGCTAACTAGCTAGGTAGCTAACGGAACAGTGTCATTAGAATGAATAAAGGAAATAGTATTTTCATCTGAAATGTATTCAGGGAGAGGGGTAAATCTATTTTATGCACCGTGATAAATCGTAATCACCATGACAAGAATAAGAGAACAGGTACCAGCACAGTGTAGAACAGAATAGAATAAAATAGAGTAGACTAAAGTAGAGTAGAACAGAATAGAACCAAAATCGAACGAGCTACCTATCAAGTGGTCTTCAAAAACACCCACGAAAGCATTCCCAAGCTAACAACCAATTGAAGGGTTCCTCTCGATTCCATCCTGATATGCAGTTTCTGTGAGTTTCACCGTCAAAAAGTAAATCCGGTTGATCGATTGGTGAGGTAACATAACAGCGAACAGACAGACAGTCATTGAAGTGTGAGCTGCTGTGTGTTTTAACCTGATCATTCAACTAAGATAATTTCTTAACTGAAATTTACTCATTTCCACTCACTCTCCAGATAATGATCTTCACTTTCAAAATCATTCAGTATGTTGAAATATTCTAATGAAATTCAACTACGAAGGAACAAACAAAGAAACAAACAAGCGAGAATATGTTTATCAATGATGTGTGGAGTCCTCAAAAATAAACTTATCCAAATTTTACTACTATGTAAGAAATGAACATATTGTACACTACTTTGTTTTAACCAAAAACTCTGTACTTTGAACTTTACCTCGGGTTTTGAATAAATATATAGTTCTGCCTGTGTGAGGATATAGGCTATGACAAGGTGTTCTCGCGCAATTTCATCGGTTACCGCGTTCACGGCTACAGGCATTATAATGGCCTATTTTTTTGGAAATAGATTATATTTGACTAGTTTTAGACTTCTGTAGCCAGATGGCAGTATTTTGTTCCTAGTAGAGCGTAAAATTTTATTTTATAGCTCCAACGAATTATTAATAAAAGAGTCATCCTTTTTAAGAAAGTTCGCATAGAAAAACTATTATTTGCATTATAGTGCTATGAGGGTTTGTTTTTTGCGAGTTGTTTCATATCTTAAGGTTGTAAATAGACTACAGGCAATGGCTGTTGTCATTCCAGTGAATCTATGAGAATCTGGCATATTAAAGAGAAATAGCGTGCAGACATAGGTTAGATGTGTGTTTTGAACATGTTAAACACTTCTGTTATCATCCGGGATGACTGAAATATTCCATAACACATCGACGACATCACGCGAAGAATGAGGCAGGCTGCTGAATTTCCTGGTGATTATATCTATTTTGATGGGGTTTGTGGTAAAAAGTGCTTGGGCGAAGATGTGATAACAGTTTGATTGCCATTTGCACATGGAATTTCAGAAGGCCTTAATTGCTCAGTGCATGAAATGGCATCACAGTATATTGACATCAGTGTTCATCGCGTCTCGAAGAATAGTATAAATAGTCCTTCTCAAATGTCAGAGTACTTAAAATGAGTATCAGCTTTCTGTTGATTAGTAGCTAGAAGCTGTGTCATACAAGTACTACACCTGTTACATAGGTTATATCAATCTTAATAATTATTTTGTTTCACATCACTAAGATATTCTGAGATCCTTAATGACTTAATTGTGGCTATGAAAGATATAAAAGATGCACTTATGGCTCATATATTTAAAGCAGTTATTATTAAACAAGTTATCTGTAAGCAATTAGTGATGTTGTTAATACTGCAAACTGTTGATAAGAAACTGCATCAAATTGTAAGTTTGCAGATCTTTCAATTTACCTGTCACTGAAATAACACTTATCTACTTCACGCCGGTCTTCTCATTTGTGCACTATTACACTACATTTTATGTTAACTGGATATGCCTTTATTAAAACTGAGACTTACTCTTTGTGCCTATTAGTTGCTTGCTAACAGTCTAGTTGCTTTTATTATAAACACAACATCACCAGTGTTGGAACAAAGCTGTATTTTCTTGGAAAACGTCATATTTTCTATGCTTACACCGATATGGTTGGCATTACACATTGCAAATGCATACTAACATTCCAAGGACATAGCACTTAGCCAAATGTACAGTGTTCATTGTGGAGGGTTTACAATTTAAACTCTTATCGCCACCTGTTCTAATTACTCGTACAATAGTTGAACGACTTAAACTTTTGAAGATGCACTAATTTATGATACTTAACGATGTGTGTGGCAGTGAAAACCACAGAAGAATGGTGTCATGAACAAGGAATGAGAAAGGAGAATGAACCATTTTCAGCAAAGGTAGGCAAATATAAAGCGTTTAACTTTAATATTACTTCTTTGTTTACTTTTTTGCAGATATCCGGTAACATCAGTCAACCGGGTCACAGTGATTAGACATTGCCCAATTTATTACGACGAACAACTGCGTAAAGACATTTGCTTGTTAATATTTTTGATTAAATATATTTAACATCCTGCTTACCAGACCTTTTTTTATTCTATCTGAGTGTAGATATATTTGTCATGATGACTAGATGCAGGCACGACTTATTAATGAGACCTGACGAAGTATTTGGTGGCATATATTAGTGTAAGGTAAATCTAACTACGAGTGCTAAAGCTGAACGAATTCAATAATTTGTCTCGTGTAGACTTTAATTTACGCTGCATGTTAACAGCCTTAGTCATATGGATTGACATCACGCTTTAAGTGAAACATTAGTAATGCAATACTTTAGAATACACGTAACCGTATAAGAACTGGAACTCGAATGCAGTGCCTAAGTTATGCCTACTATTGTCATTTGTCCCTAAAGACTTCTATATGACTATGAGACGTATCCACGTAACTTCACTAAAATAATTATAATTTAACACGTATGATGACCGACATCGTTTCTAAACAATTACACTTACGTACAGTTAAAGTCCTAGAGAGCACCGGTCTAGCATGCCGTGCTCAATAAGGGAACACATGAATTGAAAGACAACAAGATTGACATGAAAATTTTATTTTGATTACGATACAAATTCAGTTTATTTACATATTCACAGTACGATTGATTCCTGCGATTACTTCTACTGAATAATTCCTGGCAAACACTTCTCCAAATATGTCATTAATTTTCCTAATGCCCGCAGTCATAATACTTATATAGGTTTCCAATAAGGCACTTCGATTTCGAGGGACAACTGCTGACGTGCATTGAGATGCGAACAAGTTGCGTGACCACACCCATTGTTTACAATTCTGCATCACATGGTTAACTACAAAAGGTGAAAAAAAACGTAAAGATAACTATGAACTGAATATTACACGTGCAATGATGGTAGTGCTTGTGTCTTGTTTCCAATTAAGGCATTGTACACACGAATAGGGTAATGAAAATTACAACTTTCCGTATATAAGAACATTAATTAATTAAGTTTCGGTCGACATAAATTAATAACGGGGTCATTTAACAAGTACGTCAACGTTACCTTTATTAACTGCGGCTTTCGTATTTTTAACGTCGATGCGAGTTATATCCTTGTGGTACTTCTCCTTAACATGCATTATTATTTCATCGGATGAGTGGGATTGCTGAAGTGGTTCCACATTTTCTTTCCCTTCAACTGTTAGTCGTCTATACCATGGGTCATTCTGCATGTACACCCTGCTGCATGGATGGTTATGTACCATATTGTGGGAAGCAATTATGTATTCACTATAACGCAAAACCACGCGAAATGAAGACGAGCAATTGCAACATTTAGACCTGAAATATTCATGAAATCATATTACACTTCTTCTTACGACTTATTTTTCATTTTCAATCCAGGTCTTGTACGATTCACTCCAAAAGTGCATTAAACCAACATAAGCGTACTTTAATCTGTCATCGGGTATCGTTTTGCTATAAGTATGAACATAGTGAGTGCAGGACAACTACATTGTTAGCATTAAATGACCTCCTGACTTTTTGAAATTCTGCTAATGACTTCTCAAATTCATCCCAGCTCAAGAAACGCCTTCCAAGTATGTATTCACCAAAAATTCCACTTAAGTCTGTGCTCCTTTCACTCGAATTGACTACCTGCAACGGACTAAAATAAAATTATCAATCAGTATCCATCTATGTCACAACTATTCCTAGATAAATCGTAAACAAACTACATCGAAATACAGGGATGATCGATAACCATCAAGAAAATACCGCACGTATAACCTAAATCACAGAAAAACACAAGAACCCACCGGTTCGTTGACATCGCAAGCAACCGACAGACCAAACAACGAATTGTACGACGAACAAAGCCTAGTACATGCACAAACAAAGAAAAACAAAGCGTTACAATAGTCTAACTCACGTTTATAGTCATCACATTTCCTGGCAAACGACGGAAACACAACCACGCCAAGGCAGCATCCGACAACACGCATCCAAGGTTAATTCAAACTCCAAATGACCGTCACCGTTCTAGCCAATGAAAGACGATAAAACCTCAGTCGCGGAAAAGATAACTCGCACAACATATATCCTCACCCTTCCGCCTTCGACTCTCCGTCTTCTCCACCATCTCAACTGCCGTCGATCAATTTTAATCACCTGCTTTCTATCTCAAATTTTTGCAGGAGCACCGTAGTTCTTCCTACGTACTTTGGTCGACCTCCGGCAACGTCAACATTGGAGAATTAGTACTGGAGCAGTCTTCCCGCAGCACCTGGAGTCTATTACGTTTATTGTGGACTTTGGATCTTTGTAAACCCAAGTAACCAAACTTTAATACATTCTTCCCGTAACTAAACTGATTTGGTACTTTATTTTCTGTTTGAATTTGGGTAACTGAGCTAACCGAGTGAAAGGTCCACCACAATAATTGGTGAGCCCGTTTTTTTTTTTTTTTTTTTTTTTTTTTTTTTTGAACCTTTTTGTTTCGATAGTTAACTCGTTTTTAACATTTTTGTTGCCATTTTGGCCTTTTAAACTCGCATTGCTTTAATTTTTGTTGTCACAAGTTTTGCTATTCTGTATATCTCTATACTTAAATATTTTTTTGACAATGGCTCCATATAAACCTACCATTATTCCCGAAGAACTTCATAAAGGCGAAGTGACACAGAACTCTCCTGTTACCGCCTTGCCGGATTCCACATCTATGAAGGACGCACCACTGTTTTGGTTACTTTCCCAGTTAACATCTCAAATGCAAGACTTACGACTGGAAGTGTCTGAGCTTCGAGCACAAAGGAACCAGTCACATACGGTATCCAAGCAACGGCGATCAAGATCTAGACGACGTTCTAGAACACCGTCCCAAAGCCGTAACATTTGTTGGTATCATAGGAGGTATGGGCATAATGCCCTGAAGTGTCTTCGACCGTGTATGTACAACAGTAGTAACTCATCTCAGGGAAACTCCCCAGCCAGACAGTAATGGCGACGGCTGTTAATGGCAATCACCCCAGTCGCCTTTTCTATGTGAGGGATTTGACTACCGGCACATTATTCCTGGTAGATACAGGCGCCGAGGTCAGTGTTATTCCCCCCTCACTATCCAGGCGATCAGCCAAAATACCTGGAAAACTTTCACTTCGTGCTGCCAACCAAACCAACATACAGACGTATGGCGAACAGTCAATGATTTTAAACCTAGGACTACGCCGACGTTTCACATGGATCTTCATAGTAGCTGACGTACGTCACGCTATACTAGGTGCAGACTTCCTAAGTCACTTCAATCTGTTGGTTGATATCAGCAAGAAAAAACTGGTTGACAATTGCACCCAACTCAAGATCCACGGTATTACATGTGACTACTCTGTTCATAGCATCTGTATAGAAAAGCCGGAGAGTGAAATGTTCTCTGCTTTATTGCAACGATTTCCTAAAATCCTTAAACCATCATACAACGTCGAAGATATATCTCATACAGTTACGCATAAGATCATCACAACAGGACAACCTGTGAAGGCACGTCCACGACGGTTACCACCCGATAAACTAGCAGCAGCTAAGTCGGAATTCGAACATATGATGCAGCTAGGTATCATACGACCATCTAACAGTCCATGGTCTTCACCTTTGCATATGGTACCTAAAACTAATCATGACTGGCGACCATGTGGAGATTATCGCGCTTTGAATAACGCTACGGTCCCAGACCGTTATCCTATACCTCATCTCCACGACTTCTCCTTGACCTTACATGGAAAGACCGTTTTTACTAAAGTTGACTTGGTCAGGGCATATCATCAAATACCAGTCGCTCCAGAAGACATTGCAAAAACAGCAATTATCACGCCTTTTGGATTATTCGAATTCTTGAGAATGCCTTTCGGACTAAAGAATGCTGCTCAAACATTTCAGCGTTTTATGGACCAAGTTACCCAAGGTCTTGATTTCGTCTTTGTATATATCGACGATGTCTTAATTGCCAGCTCATCGATGGAAGAACATATGCAACACTTAAGCCTGTTATTTCAAAGGTTTGAACAATTTGGAGTTGTTATCAATCCAAAGAAATGTATTTTTGGTTCCCCTTCCATTGAATTCTTAGGACATCGAATAACTGCCGAAGGCATCAGACCTACCGAAGATAAGATAAAAACTATTAAGAACTTTCCCGAACCTGATTCCTTAAAGAAACTTAGACGTTTTCTCGGGATGTTCAACTTCTACCGACGTTTTATTCCATCATGTGCCTCCATAGTTCAGCCACTGACCGACCTACTTAGATGCAATTCGAAGAAATTTCAGTGGTCTGAAGAAGCAAAAGCAGCATTTAATAATGCAAAAGATGCCTTATCCAACGTTGTAATGTTATCTCATATCAACCCAGAAGCTTCACTCATTTTATGTACAGATGCATCGCAGGTAGCAGTGGGAGCAGTTTTACAACAAAAGTTCAATAATGACATCACTCCACTTGCTTTCTTCTCCAAAAAGTTGGAACCTGCGCAAACTCGTTACAGCACTTTTGGCAGAGAACTGTTAGCCATCTACCTAGCAGTGAAACATTTCAGCTTCTTACTACAAGGTCGACATTTTACTATCTTAACCGACCATAAGCCTCTTTGTTATGCTTTCACCACTTCGTTGGACAGACACTCTCCGAGAGAAGCCAGACAACTGGATTACATCTCACAATTCTCAACAGACATCCAGTTCATCAAAGGAGATTCCAATATCGTAGCCGATTCTTTGTCTCGATGTGACGTTAATCACCTATCTTCGATAGATATTAGCTTAGACAATATTGCCAAGCTGCAGAAAAATGACGCCGAACTCCATACTTGTAGACGAAACTCCTCCCTACAGTTGCAGGATGTACCTATTCCCCTGTCTGATACAACTATCGTCTGCGACGTTTCAACGGGCGTTCATAGACCTTTTGTTCCACTAAGTTGTCGAAAACCTTTGTTTGAACATCTACATTCATTGTCTCATCCTGGAGTGCGTGCTACAGTCAAGTTAATCAGCGAGCGTTTTGTTTGGCCCAAGATGAACTCCGATATTCGGAAATGGGCCCGCCAATGCTTGCAATGTCAAAGATCCAAGGTACATCATCATACCGTCACACCTCCAAAACAGTTCAATTTACCGGATAAACGATTTCAACACGTTCATATAGATATTATTGGACCATTACCGCCATCCAGAGGATTTACTCATATACTTACTGCGATTGATCGATTTACCCGATGGGCTATTGCTTGTCCACTCAACGATATATCTGCAGAAAATATCGCTTTGGTTTTCTTAGATCGCTGGGTGTCAAACTACGGAGTACCCACAACTATTACAACAGACCGAGGAGCTCAATTTCAATCAACTCTGTTTCGAGAGTTTACGAGACTCCTTGGAGTGAACCATATCTCCACTACAGCTTATCATCCTGCAGCGAATGGTCTGGTGGAACGTTTCCATCGACAACTGAAAAGCTCGCTTATGGCACAAGCTGACTCATCTAAGTGGAGTGAACACCTACCATTAGTTCTTCTCAGTATCCGATCAACTGTAAAAGAAGATTTGGGATGTACACCAGCTCAACTTGTGTATGGTACTACCCTCACATTGCCTGGTCAGTTAGTTCCGTCTAATGATTCAACTGAAGTAAATATCTCCGACTTCACCAACCGCCTTACCCAGCATATGCTTCAGCTTCGACCAGTAGCCCCTCGCCAATCACTTCAGAAAGCTCAAGTAAATAAGAATCTACTCACTAGCAAATTTGTATTTGTTCGCGTCGATGCCATTAGAAAAGGTTTACAGCATCCATATGAAGGTCCTTTTCTAGTACTTAAACGCACCGATAAATACTTCACGCTGAACAAACATGGTAAACCGGAGACTGTTTCTATCGACCGTCTTAAACCAGCGTACACCGACAGCGAACATGAAACACTAGCAACGCCGACACCAATAAACAATCAGAAAGTCAATGCAACTCCAACTCTCCCGCTCTTCACTCTTCCCCCTGTACAGACACGCAGTGGACGGCAGATCTGTAAACCTGCCCGCTATGTTCATTTTATTGACTGACATAAACGTTAACCTCATTTAGACATTCTTCTCATTACTATTGTTGTCGAGATTCATTTCATTATAACCATAAATATTTATTAGTATTATTATTTGCTGTTCGTCAACTGTACTGCAAGCACACGCATTCACCAAGTATATGTATATATCTATTTATATATGAATTTCACAAATGTTAACGAACATGTCATGGTTTATTATGTACATAAATTTTTTATTTAAAATTATAACAAGTTTTGATTTTTTTTAAATTCCTGTATGTGCTTGTATGTGCTAAACTTTATACGACACGGATGCATGCCATACATCCTGATCTAACTTTGTATCCTTATTGTTGTTATTGTTATTTTTTTTATCCTTATTGTTGACATTGTCCCTTATTTATATTGCTTATATTCATGTAATCGTCCACGAGGACAGTACTGATGGTCCTCCGGACCTCTAAGAGGGGGAGCCCTGTGGAGTCCTCAAAAATAAACTTATCCAAATTTTACTACTATGTAAGAAATGAACATATTGTACACTACTTTGTTTTAACCAAAAACTCTGTACTTTGAACTTTACCTCGGGTTTTGAATAAATATATAGTTCTGCCTTCGACTCTCCGTCTTCTCCACCATCTCAACTGCCGTCGATCAATTTTAATCACCTGCTTTCTATCTCAAATTTTTGCAGGAGCACCGTAGTTCTTCCTACGTACTTTGGTCGACCTCCGGCAACGTCAACATTGGAGAATTAGTACTGGAGCAGTCTTCCCGCAGCACCTGGAGTCTATTACGTTTATTGTGGACTTTGGATCTTTGTAAACCCAAGTAACCAAACTTTAATACATTCTTCCCGTAACTAAACTGATTTGGTACTTTATTTTCTGTTTGAATTTGGGTAACTGAGCTAACCGAGTGAAAGGTCCACCACAGATGAAATATTTGTGATGTCATGAATGTATTTGTTGAAATAAATATTTCTAGAAAGCTTCCACGCCATTCATTCATTCGTTGATGACTAATACTTATTGTTTGTCGAGGTTGTAGCGGTAAATAATTCCCCAAAATTATTGACCACAGCAATCACTCATTGGATGCTGACCACCACTGTTTAAGTCGACTTGTTTAGCTGAAGGCTTCCGGTCAAGCATCCCCGCCATTTGGTACCCCGTCGTGTCACGTGCACGATCACTAGCTAGATAAGCGTTTGTCTGAAGACTTGTTTTGGTCCCAAAATATATCTCTTGGTTTGGAC